TTTTTGGAAAGAATGCACAAGCTAGGGTATATGGTTTTCGGCTGCCATGTGGCTATTTCGCCAGATATGAGTTTTACCAATGGTGTCCCGCTTTACCACTGTTAAAATCTGGTCACCTTACAGTAAGGCCTGGTTTCGAACGTAAGGTGTCTACCACGCTGGTTCTCAGAGTCCTTTGTTCATAACTCGTTTCCTTTCACAGGGTCCTTTGAGCTGTGCCTTAGCAGGCCGGCAGGAACCTCAGTCATCACTCCTTGAAGGCCTTCCTCCTTTTCGCTACCCCTCTACTATACCAAACGTGGTGTCCTTCTCCAAGGATTGGCTCCTCATGTGTGAGGCCATCCCACAACTCCGCTGGTCTGTTACAAGTATCAAATCTGTTCTGGGGCAACAAAGCCACTGCCTTTCTGTTGGTTCCAATCCACGGTGACCTGATAGGACTGGGGAGCGCTGCCCTGTGGGTTCTCACTTCTGACCTTGTGGTTAGCAACCCCATGCGCATGTGACCCCCCCACCAGGGTCGTCTATTTGGAGATGGTCTCTAAACTCAGACGGGAACACTCAAAGGCGTTCTTGGCTTTCATGAGTGTGTCGTTGTTTTCCTCAGCTTACACGTAAAGGTGAATAGAAACTGGTCTGTTGTGATGGGTCCCGGACCTTGTTCTATCAACACTGTTCAACGGCGGTTTTAATCCAGTGACCCCACATCAGTCGAGTAACAATGTGGACGTCCTGAAAACTTGGCAATGTAAAGAGTTTTTGAACATGAAACCAAATGAAACCATTTCAAAGGCAAACGCGCCATGAATCCGAGGTGTTTCTGGCAGCATTTGCCTGTGTTGCAAATTTCTCAGCGCAAAGAGGTCGCAAGTAGAAAAGATGAGGAAGCCCTAATTGGGTATTGAAAGATGAGGCCTTCTACTTCCATAAAGAGTTAAAGCTCCCCAAACCAGTGGCCACAAGCACAGGTGTGTGCCCCCTGCTGCCCCTCCACCCAGCCCAGGAGGAGGAATTGCCCTGCCCCATCTCCTGGCCCACCCCTGCCCCTTTCTACTCCCAGGAGTCTGAGGTAAACCACACACTGGGCCCACTCCCTGCCTCCCACTCCCCTCCACCCATTTGGATTCGAAAGGGTGGCAGGTTTGGATAGTCTCCATCCCTCCTCTGGTCATTCCTCAGGATTCTCCTGTCAGCATCCTCCACCCTGCTGCTCCCTGACTCAGCGACCCCGCCCCTCCCTTGACCACACCCTGCCCAACCCCACTGGTGTTACCCTCCCTTCCTGGGACTGCCAGGGCAACCATCAAAGCTGTCTTAGAAGCAGCACAGCCAGAAAGCTCCTTAGAAGCAAGGGTGGGAAGACTACGTCTCAAGTACTTTAGACATGTCAGGAGAGACCAGTCCCTGGAGAAGGAGCTCATGCTTGGTGAAATAGAGGGGCAGCAAAAAGGAGGAAGGTCCTTGGTGAGATGGACGAACACAGTGGCCGCCATGGTGGGCTCAGGCGCAGGAACCATTGTGAGGACCGCGCCAGACAGGCAGTGTTTCCTTCTGCGCACCTGGGAGTGAAACCATCAGCTGCTCCCGGGAGAAAGACAGAAGCAATTCTGTCTGGGAAACTCCGGGGGCAGTTCTACTCTGCCCTATGGGGTCCCAATGTCAAGGACTCCTGGTGGTGTCATGGGCTACTCAGGGCACTGCTACCCTCAAGGTCAGCAATTTGAACCCAGAGACCCAACGGGGCAGTTCTACCTGTTAGCGGAGTCAGAATTTCTGCCCACCCTCTCTTCTCTGTCTCCTTTGCCCTCCTGAGGCGGGTGGGTGGATAGTCATGCCTGGTTTTGCCTTGGTCTCTGGGAGGCCCTGCTCAATCTCGGGGTCCATCTCCACGAGGAAGTGCACCCTAGTCTGTCTTGTGTGCCTCACAGGCAGATCGCTCAGCAAATCTTGCCAACTCTGTCTTCAAATCTGTCCAGTAGCCTGGCCCTTTCCCACACCTCTGCTGCCTACTAGCCAGCGCCTGACCCCCGTCCAGGTCCTGGAGCCCCCAGACCCTTTCTTTCTGACACTGCACCCCAAGGTCACATGGGCCTCCCTAGGGATTGCCCGGACTGTGGCTTCGGCGTTCACCTCATTCAGGTATTTGTGAGTGCCCCCTACCTACCCCGGAGGCCATGCGGTCACTCAGTCGTCACCGGCCAGCCATCGTGTGCTCCTGACCCGCCAGGCCCTACCCTGACTTCCTTCCCTTGCGTTGGAACCGCGGACTCCCAGACCCTGCAGGTTTGTCTCTTAGTGTTTCCTGGTTCCTTTGGGTCTCCCGGGGCGGTGGACGGGTCACAGGGGTGGGGTGGGGTCTCGTTCGCTACTCCCCTCCCCCGCGGGCCCTAGAAGAGACCGCACACA